AACACAAAAGAATCTCCATCATTCAAAACTTTGGCAGTTTGAAATTTGACAAAAATTTTCCTATGTTAACAATAAATTTGCTTTTGAATAATTCAAAATAAAATTTAAGAAGTGTAGCTGTAGTCATCTAAATCGTGTATATAGTACATGCGCCTAGCTACTACTTATAAAACTTCTATCCAATAAAAACAACATAAAATACGGCGTATTTACATACAACGGAAGGAAATTGGTCAATCAGATAATCAAACATTGCCGGCGTTTCGATTCGTGTCACAAGGGCATTTCTCAAGGTGAACAGGGTTAATTTACGCAGTTCGTTCTGTAGTCCGCATCTGCTGCGGCGTCTGGAGCCAAAGGTGCGCTTTTGGTTCATGCCACTAGTTAACTAATTTTTCCGCAACAGGTGCGATAAAACTTGCCCGATCCGAAAGTTTGTATTTTTTGAGTATCGCAAGACTGCATAATTACTGCTTCCTTGATGCGTCTGTTCAGCCAGTTTCTTTCTTGATGAAGCTGTTGCAATTTAACCAATGGGAAGCGTGATCTTTCTCTGCATGTTGCAAAATCTCGGAGGCCTTTTCGCATTGCTCCTTGACCTGCTCATGGTCGAAGCCTTAATTTCTTTTTGGACACTTTGTTATTGCATGCCGCTCGCGTTCATTCGCGATCACCTATTTTTTCCAGCTTGACAGGTGGGTTTTTGTTCCAAGAAAGACGGTAATCCCTTATTTTTTAATGTTATATTTACCGCAATTATACAGTGGTCAGTAAACCCAGCTGAGAGAGTTATTATACGCAGAATTACTCAAAAACTGATTAAATTTATTAGACCTTCTATGTATAACGCTTGTACGATATTTAGTTTAAAGTAATATTTACAACTTTTCACTGTGGTTCTTAAGTCATTGTTCCGTGACATGATCAGAAGCGATGCTTTGCTTTCTTCTCACGATTGATATGCGGTAATAAAGCATAGGTTCAATTTGTGGCTGATACCTCTACTCAAGGCCTTTAATGCAAATTTGTTCAAAAAGATAGTTTCATTACTAGATTGAGCCTCAACGTATACATTTATTTGCATAAAGACAGTATGGGTACATTTTTCTTTAGGCTACCTATCTCTAGACTGATGAGGGAGTGTTGGACTGTGATTGAACCTGCAACACCAAGAAGAAAAGAAAGAAAAGAAAGAAGGAAAGACAGAAGAAGACAAAGGAAGACACTGTAACAACCAAAAGCGTCTGAAACAACAGCTTTTGGAACGCTGCTACAAATGTCTGGATTGCTTTTTTCAGTATCTGACAGCTGTGGACGATAATTCTAATATATGACCCAGTTCTTAAGCTATTCTTACCATTTCGCAGCAAATTTCATACATACTGAAATGAGAAGGAAGGTCCAAGAAAAATCCATTAGAAACGCTGATGACACCTCATTTCCACTGGTAGTACATCGCCTTCCTTTGCATCCTCCTGTTACCAGCCTTCCAGCTACATATCCGCACTAAGGATTGATTTTACCAGTGTCTATAAAGGGAATCGCAGCTCTGGTATAAACAGAGCTGAACGTTGGCAGCATTCATTTCTGGTACTATTCACGTTTTAAGCTCAACTAAAGATATTGCGTCCCAAGTGACCACAGCGCTAAGATGTTTGAATCTTTGGATATGTTTCTAGTGCTACTCACTGAGCCCTATCTTCTTTTTCTCCTTGCTGCCTATGTCCAACATATAAACATCATTATCGTCGCGGTCGTAGTGCTCCTCATCAACAACCATTGCAGTCATCATAATAATAACCGTGACCGTGATAGCTATCATTGTTACAATTTTCGTCGTCATCAAAATCAGTGACGTTCAGTGCCTTTTCTGTCTCTATTCCTTGCAAAATGATGCTGAGCTTAAAGCTGCCTTAA